GTATAGATTTAATCACATTTAGTTTTTTGTCTTTATCATACACATAAGCTCCTTAAGAGAATTTTTGTAAGAGAAGTGCAAGAGGTCAAAACATATTCTATGTTTTCAAATACAAAAGATAAAGTATTGTACAAAACCACACATTTGTTAGTATCTTTTGCCTTTATCATAAGAGGCCAGAATAGACATCCTTATGTGCTAAAAAATATTGTGTTCACTGCATCAAAAAATGGGTATAATTTAGATAAAAGGATGGTTGTTAAGTATTATTCATAAGAGAATTATAAATACCCTAAATGTTCAACAATAGGATTAACTAAATTATGGACTATCCATTTGAAAGTGCTCTTAAAAATGGTGATGCAGATGTTTACAATACAGTAAGTGAAGTCAGTTCCAAAACAGTGTAGTCTATTTATCTGGTACCGGGGCTTGCTACACAGCTCGGACTCGTACTGATCGTCTGGTGTCAGCCTACCCAGTGCTGCAATTAAGGTGTGTACCACCATGCCTGGTTTCGGTGGCCAGCATGGTGCGGGGCTGGCACGGCATGTGGTACCTGCAGGGCATGCAGCACCTGCATGGTATGCGGTACTTGCAGGGCATGAGGTACAGGGGATCAAATCCAGGTCCTTGAGCTTGCCAGGCAGGCGCTTAGACTGTTGACCTATCTCCCCAGCCCGAAAAACAATGTAGTTTAAATTTAAAAAAACTAAAACAACATTAAATTGTGACATGTGATATTACTAATATTTGATCATATTTAACTTGGAAAATCAGCAATTTACTATGATTCAGTATATATACAGAAGTTGAAGGGGCTGGGGAGATGGCTCAGTAGAATAAGTGCTTGCCTAGCAAGCGCAAGGGCCTCAGTTCAATCCCTGGTTCCACCAAAAAAAAAAAAAAAAAAAAAAAAAAAAAAAGTTAAAAAGTGTATCTACTGGAAAAGTTAATAGAAGGGAAGGTTTCCCACCAAAACCCTGATGGTAGTGATTGCTGAATGGTGGTTTGATGGTGGCTTATGTTTTTACTTAACTATATTATTTAACTATATTTTCTAAAATTTTTATGAGTAATTGATATACTCATAAAAATAATCTCTTAAGAAGGTATTCCATTGTGTGAGCAGTAATTTTCATCTCCTAATACCTTGTTTTTCACTTGTGTTTCAGTGTTCTAAAGTGCTTGCAATTGTATGATTGTGGGCAGAAACGGAAAGCTCTCTTCTTCATGTACTTTTGGTACCAGGATGGTTTTTATTCAGCAGTGACTGCTGATGGGCCTAGATTTTCAAAGCCCTCTTCATCTCTTGCTGCCCTCTACAACTGACAAATGTTTTCCATGAGCCCTCTCATTGGGACTTTAGGCCAGCTGTGTCCCTAATCCGCCCATGTCCCAGATTTGGGTATGGTTCAGACTCCAACTGTTCCCCCACTCTACCCCCTGTTTCTTTCAATCTCATCTCTTCCAGGTTGTCAGAGACCTCATCTATCCTCCCTGGCCCTCCTCGCTAGTTTCACCATCTAATTTCATCCTTTTGTGTACAGCTGGTGTTCAGTTTTGATGGGGCTCAGTTTGTAGTGGCAAAGGATTAAGACTCATGCTGTCTTTTTCTTTCTCTCTCTTTTTTTTCTTAGTGCCCTTGACTGCTCCAGGAGCTAACAGGCAGCTAGCAAGGCCTGTATTCCCTAGGAAGAAATAAGAGAGGTGGCGGGGGAAGTAGTGGCAGGCTCAGCTGGCAGGCGGGATAGAGATGGCCTCTAGGGACCCCATCCTGGGCCTTGGAGCATGACACAGATGCCATCTAAATGTGAGCATGGAGTGAAGCTGTTTCTGCCTAAGAAATTAGCCTCAGAAGTGGTGCTTGGGACCTTGGGACCTTTACCCAATGGCAGCTTCTGAAAGGTGAGCTAGGACTGGATATCTGGTTTGCAGAAATCTGAGATGGAGTATGGGTACAGGAGTGAGGATAGTTTTTCCTTTTCAGACTGGATGATTTATAACCCTAGCCCCTACTATGGAATGGTTCCAGCTATACTCAGAGATTGAGCACTTACCCTAACAGGTGATGGTGTGTAATTAATAACAAAAATCCCTTATGTGTGTATAGTACTTTACAGTTTACAAAGCCCTTCATCTCTTAAGAATTAAAAGCTTAACCCTGGCATTCAGGACTGAGATTCTAAAACCTGGGCCAACAGATTTTGGTGTGATAGTGCATTGCACTCTGACAGTAGTTTGCATCTAGCCTTTTCTTGCCAGTCTGAGATTTTTTTTTTTTTTTTTTTTTTTTTTTTTTTTTTTTTTGTGGCAGTCTTGCGATATAGTTTGGGCTAGCCTCAAATTTGTGGCAGTGGGCCAGGCATGTAACTCAGCCACACAGCACCTACCTGGCAAGTGTGACGTTTGATTCCTGCTGCCAAAAAATCCCCCAACAACAAAAAAACTTGTGGCAGTTCTGCTTCAGTCTTGAGTGCTGGGATTATAGGTGTGTATCACCATACCTGGCCAAATTTTTTTTTTTTTTGCTACTGGGACTTGAACTCAGGACCTTGTGCTTGCCAGGCTGGCACTTAAGCTGTCAACCTATCTCCCTGGCCCTGGCCAGAATGATTATTAAAGCTATACATTCTGTTCTTTCAACAAAGCACCTTTAAGCATTATATTCTATTGGCTAATACTTCAAGGCATAGATAATACTAAGGTTCATGTATCTGAATTTTGTGGATAACAGGTAGTGGAAATGGTGAGATGCCTCAGGATTGATCTTCAGTATTCATCTTCAGTAGCTGATTTTTCTGTCTAGTAGGGGAAGGAAGCCTCTGAGGCCCAGAAATGGTATAATTAGAACTCCCTGAATCAAAAGCACAGCTGAACTTGAGGACCTGAAGCAGGAGATCGGTGTATTTAAGAGCAAGAGTTTTACTCCTAGTACACAGAATGACCCTAGCCAAAGTTACATTACTAAGCATCAATTTCCTTCTTTAACAAATGTGATCAATTCATATACTTGTTCAATAAACACTATGTGTGCACTGTTCTGGGAGATGAACAAAGGGGACAAAATCTCTGTTCTCCTGAGTGTGAAGTCTTGCCAGTCTAGATTACAAAAAGATAACAATGTATTTACGAGAGGTAATAAATAGAGAATAGAAAGAGATGTTATGAAAGGTGCCAGGATTAAAGCAGGGCAGAGATACACAGTGGAGTTTATTAGTCAAACTCCACTAATAGGTGGTCGTCAGGGGATTTTGTTTTAAACAATTATTATATAACATGCTCACCTCAGAGCTGACAGCAAGTGTGTGATTAACAAATACATTATTAAATCATCCACCTGTACACCTCTCAGTCCATATGTTTCCAGATAGTAGTCATAATTAACACTGAGTTTGGTACATGCCATTTCCATTTTATAGAAGAAGAAGGGAGGAGATATGACTTGCCTGAAATCACACATCAGTTCATTGCCGGAGCTTTTGTTTGAGCAAGGGTTCCCTCACTTTAGCACGTGCACATCTTTTGTATCTGGCTATTGTCCATACAAGGGATGTAAAACCTTCCCTTGTATTACTTTTCCAATAGATATACTTTTAAACTTCTGTATATATACTCAATCATATTAAACTGCTGCTTTTCTAGGTTAAATATAATCAAATATTATAATATCACGTCACAATTTAATGCTGTTTTAGTTTTTTAAATTAAGACTACATTGTTTTTCGGGCTGGGGAGATAGGTCAGCAGTCTAAGCGCCTGCCTGGCAAGCTCATAATTAACACTCGCTGAGATATTGTGTTTTAAGTACTGTTCTAAGTCCTTTACATATTTTAGTTAATTTAGTTCTTACAGTAACTGCATGAGGTAGGGACTATTATTATCTCTCTTATGGGGTCAGAAACTGAGGCACAGAGAAGGCCATCAGTAAGGGCTGAAGACTGAGCAGTGAACCTAGACAGTTTGATTCACAGGCTGAGTGGAGATGGTGAAAGGGCTGTGTAGTTGACACACGCAGGCTCTGATGTCAGATTGCCTGGCATCTTATCCTGGCATGTCTAAGTCTCTGTTTCAGTTTCCTCATTTCTAAGATGAAATACCAGAACCTATCTTACTTTCTGGGTGTGTTGTTTAAAATAGCCTTCTTTCTCTGCTCTGTGGAGCTGTGCTGTTCAGAGATCAACCTGGCAGGGAGTAGGAAGGGCCGAGGGGGCTCTGAAATTTGTGAAGGGCAGTGAACCCACACTAGGTAATTACCAGAGTAACCTGAACAGTTCCCCTGAACACTAAATCCTGGAAGCTAGTGTTTTAAAAAATGATTTTATGATTTTTAGCCAGGGCTAAATTAGGAGATTCCTAAATGCAGAAGACAGGTGATAGTATGGTCTCATCACTTAGCTTACATTTCAGGCCAGTTAGAGGTTAATGCTTTATCAACAAATATCGGGGCTGGACAGGCACCTGGAGATGGTCAAGATAACAGATGGGAAAACTGAGCCCCAGAGAAGCTGAATGACTTACCTGAGGTTACTAGGTACATTACACACCGGATTGCTTGTTGGGGAAGTTGGCACCAGACTATAGATGAGTTCCACTTTCTCTGGGGTTTCCAAATTTCCATCTCTTACCTGGGCCTCCTTCGGGAGCAAAACGCCTCACCTGAGCCCTGGGCCTTAGCCGCTTCCTTCCGCACGTGGGTGCCGCTGTAGCCTGGAACCCCGGGTCCTCGCAGGGTTCGACCTGCGCGTGCGCACAGCGGCCAGCCCCTAGCCTTTCCCCCTTCGCTTCTCCTTTGCCAGCCTCAGGGAGGTTAGGGAGAGAGGAGAGGAGCCCGATTCGGCCTCAGCCAATGGGCTGGCGGGCCGCGGGCCAGGCCCCCTCCTTCCCTCCCGTGCGGTCCAATAGAAATTTACTACAATGTTGTGGCGAGCGGAGGGGGAGGGGCCCGCGGGCGGGCGGGCTGCGGGCCTCGCCCGCCTTAGCCTCGCGGAGGAAAGGCGGGAGGGCGCACGCCGGGGCTGCTCGCTCGCTGGCTCCCTCCCTCTCTACCAGTGGGTTCAGTCAGACCGTCAGTCAGCAGCCGGCGGGCTCTCGAGCTGGGGAGGGCCCGAGCCTCGGACTCCGGTGCCACCTCCTGCCATTGTTCGTCCTGCTGTAGCAGCGACAGGCGCGGGAACCCGGGCCTGGGAGCTACCGGTGAGAAGGTGGCGGCGGCGGCGGCGGCAGCCAGGGGGCGGGGGCGCGGCGCTGTTCCCGAGAGGACGGTCCTGGCGGCCTCCGCGGCGCCGCAGCCTCTTTGTCTGCAGCCCCCCGCAGGCCCTGGGCTGGGGGCGCGGGTTTTCTGGCCAAGGGACCTCGTCCTCGTGCGGGAACGCCGAAGGCTGGAGCGGGGCCGCGGCCTGAGGCGCAAGGGGAGGCGGAAGAAGGGCAGGGGGCGCGCCAGGGCAGCGCTTCGAAGTTGGGCGCGGGGTGTGTTTTCTCACGAGGGAAAATCGGTTCATTCTGGTCTGTCAGTCATTACGCTGTGGCCCGGACCCTCGGAAGGACAGTGGGGCTGGAGGCTTGTAGGTTTTTGACTGCGAAGGTGTGGGGGCAGCCACGGAGTGATTTCCGGGTGACGAGCTTGCTAGGTGTCTGGAGAAGTCGGGCGGCATCAGAGGTGGAGGGAGTCGCAGCGCTTCCAGGCCTTCCCGCCTCGGACACCTGCATCATTATAAAAAAAACCCCAAAAAACAAAAATCCTCCGAGCCCTTATGATCCAAAGGTTTCCGCCGTAGTCTTCACAATTCCCAGTGAGCAAAGGGTTAAATCTATTCTCTCAGCGTCGTGACCTCCTTTTTCAGTTTGCGCATCTGTCGGCTTGGAAATATTTCCTCCTGCTTGCTGGGCTGCTGTACCTGTGGAGGGACGGGATCCAGGCTCACCCTCTTGAGATTTATCACCAGGCCTTTATTCCTAGGCAGACCCCCACCCGCACCTTGGTTCTCCTCAGGAGCAGGCATTCTCTTGAGAGAGCGAGCGCAAGTGATCTCACGTGAAACAAATTGCTGACGGATTGGTTTCTGGCCACATGATAGTGACTGTCATCCTGTTGTTTCTCGCTAACTGTACCCTACCATAAATGACTAGTCTATGCAGCAGTCGTTTTTTAGGCATGTGTTGGCTGATTAGGAGGTATTCCCCCCTCCTTTTTTAAGAGATGCAGAGCTTTTTTTAGTAGTCTAATTTCACAGCTGCTATTTTGTCCCTTCTGTTTTTAGGAAAAATTACGAAAAGAAAAAAAAAAAAAAGGTTGTCTTGTGTCTTAGATCTTATATAGATTTATACCCTCTTCAGGATACACTGTACACCGTTGCTCATTACTGTTTTCTGTATTCTTAGTTCTGGCAACATTTTTAGTTGATTTGATCCTTTTAATCAAGGAAGATACACATATCTTTAATGTGATTCCTCTCACCCCAATTTTGTTAGTGTGTGATTACCTGTTTTAAAGAAAACTTGATAACTCTCTTGTTTTCCTGTTCTGTAAATTGACAGTGAATTCTTTGCCAAATGTAAAAGTTTTGGGTTAACACATGAGTTTCTTGGGGTGTTACTTACATATTCCATATGGAGTACATAATGGAATACCTGGCACTGAGGACTCATTCATTAAGTGACAGATTAAAAAATAACTAAGAATGGTGATGTAACTTAGTGGTAAAGCACACTGCCCTTGGTTGAATGCCCAGCACCCCCAAAAAGGAATAGCTGAATATCAGATTGTCTTAGAATCGAAGTGCTTACTCCAAGAAGCTTATAATTAAGGTAAAAGTAGGGTGTTATTTATATCCTTGGGGGAAGGAGAACAGTGTATCTTGGTCACTATTAAAAGTAAACTCATCATTGGATCCAAGTTCAGCATCTTAACCTTCTGAGGGCTCTTTTATTAACAAAACCATCCCTTTTTTCTCTGTATAATTGAATTCAGGCTAAAAACAATACATGTTTTAAATCTTTAGGCCTCATCCCAAGTTCTTTCAGTGTCATGCCACTTTATACCAAATATTTAACATTAATTTTTTTTTTCTTGGTACCGGGGATTGAACTCAGGACCTTGCATTTTATATGTAAATTCTTGACATTATGGCCAAATGTACGTTTTCTTCCTTTTTTAATGACTTTTTTTTTCTTTTTTGTAGTTTAGTAAGGGTCTACATGGTCTACAGGGTCTCACTATGTAGATCGGGCTCGTAGTCATCTGCCTGTGTTCAGCCTTACAAGAGCTGAGATTACAGGTGTGAGCTACCTCCCCAGTCTCAATTGCCATCTCAGCATGCCCCGGGGGGTGGGGCCAGTACCACAGTGCAGGGATCAAATCCCAGCCCCTGTGTCTGTCTAAGCAGGCACTTTAATTTATTTGGCTGGTCCTTTTCTGTCTTTGAGAGAGACATGGTGTCACTATGCAGTTCAGGCTGGCCTTGAGCTCAATTTATAGCTTCAGGCTGATCTTGAGCTTCCAGTGATCCCCCTGCCTCAGCCTCCAAAGTGCTGAGATTACAGGTGTGCACCATCAGTTCTAGCAATAGGTGACATGTGTATATTTTCCTGAGTGTTTTCAGTTCTTACCTTAAGTATATTTCATATAGTAATTTGAAGTGTGGGGAAAAGTGATCTCTTTAGAAAGAAGTTGACTACGTAGTGAGACCCTGTCTCAAAAAGACAAAAAAAAAAAAAAAAAAAAAAAGTCAATAGGTTTTTGTTTTGAGTTTTCTTTGAGCTTCACTAGTAGGGCTAACCAGTTGAGTTTTCTGTAATTGGTGGTTTTTTTTTTTTTTTTTTGTTTGTTTGTTTGTTGCAGAACCGGGGATTGAACTCAGACCCTTGCTTGCCAGGAAAGCGCTTATTATACTGAGCCATCTCCCCAGCCCCTGTAACTGGTGTTTGTTACAAGAATTTAAGTCCTAAATGTCTCATCAGTGGGTGTAGTACTAGAATAAGAAAACCTTTAGGTTTTCATTCTATGGAGAGCTAAAACGTTTACCATTTGTCTGTTAGCACTTGAAAACTGTTTGGAAATAGACCAAACTAATAGAAGAAAGTCTTTATCTTTTGCATAGATCTTTGCTTGCTTTTTGTATCTTTTCTCTTTCTGTGGACTAAAGGCCAGTATATTCTTTTTGGCTTTTTTTTTTTTTTTTTTTTTTTTTAAATGTATTTACTACAGGGCCTACAGGGTCTCACCCTGTAGATAGGACTTGTAGTGATTCTCCTGTTTTCGGCCTCCCAAGCAATGGGTTTTACAGGCGCATGCCTCCATGCCCAGTCTCAATTGCCATCTCAGCATGCCCCAGGGGCGGGGCTGGCACATGAAGCTGGGGATCAAACCCTGCTGAGCTATCTGGCTGGTCCTCTTTTTGGCTTTTTTTGACACAGGGTTTCAATTTGCAGTTTAGGCTGGCCTTGAACTCTGGGTATCCCAGGCTGGCCTCGAACTCACAGTGATCCTCTGGCTTCAGTTTCCAGAGTGCTGGGATTACACATATGCACCCCTATACCTAGCCTCTTAATGTTTGTTGAGGATACAGATTGTATATGTTGTGTTCAAGTGGTAGACATAGGAAACAAACATATCCCTTAGTACGGGGAGAACAAAAATACCTATTTGTTCCCCAAGGCCTTGTGCACCCTAGTCAACATTCTATCACTTCAGTACATATGCAACCCTTTTATTTCATGAGATGCACCATTGCCCAGGGTGGCCTTGCATTTATGACCCTCCTGCCTGGGATTATAGGTGTATGCCACAATGTCCAGCTAAATGTATTTTGAAGTAGATTTATCTTGGCTGGGCGAAATAGCATGTACTGTAGTCCCCAGCACAGTACCTCTCATAACTTTAATTTGTTTAAAAGTAAAATGAAGAGCCAGCCAGATAGCTCAGCAGACTAAAGCGCCTGCTTAGGCAGAGTCCAGCGGCCAGGATTCGATCCCCAGTGTGCCAATCCGGCTCTGTCCCTGGGCTGGGGTTCACTGAGACAGCAATTGCTGAGTTAGGAGGAATGTGTGAGACCATGAATTTAACAGCTAGCCTGTGTAATATAGTGAGAGAAAGAAAAGTACTTATTCTCAATATATAAAATATATTTTATAACAAAATGTACAAGTCTTCTTCATTTTATCTTTAAAAGTAGCTTCATCTTACAACTTTTTTTCCTTAGACACTTCTAAGCATTATCTAAACTACCGAATGATTTGAAATGAATCTTCCACTAAAAGACAAGTTGTGTTTTGTTGAGATGTTACCTATGTATTTTTTTCTGTTATGTTGGCTTTGTGCCCCACATTTAAAGTTTTTACTAGTGTGATCTTTTCTTGTGTACACCTTGAGTTGAACAATTTCATAAATTAATTGAAATAACTTACCTTCCATCGTGTCCTTAGTTTATCACCTTAAGTGAATTTAATTTAATTTCTATTTTTTTGGTACCAGGGATCGAACTCAGAACCTTAGGCTTGCCAGGCATGTGCTTATGCTGCTGAGTTATATCACCGGCCTCCTATCATTTTACTTTTTTTTTTTTAATGCATTCGGTACAGGGTCTACAAGGTCTTACTATGTAGATCAGACTCTAGTAGTGATTCTCCTGTTTCCACCCTTCCAAGTGCTGGGATTACAGGTGCGTGCCGCAACACCCAGTCTTAATTGCTGGCTCAGCAAACCCTGGGGACAGAGCTGGCATGGGATGCTGGGGATCGAACCCTGGCTGCTGCACTCTACCTAAGCAGGCACTGTAGTCCGCTGAGCTATCTGGCTGACCCTTCATTTTACTTTTAAACAAACTCATGTTATGAGAGGTACTGTGCTGAAGATTTTTTTTTAGATTTTCTTTCTCCTATTCCTAAGAATACTATGGAATTAAATTTGTCAGGAATATTCCCTAAAAACCACATGATTCTTGAATTCAGATCTATAGGTACTTTGATATAATTGCCATCAGATTGTGATCTAAAATATGTAGTTTGTAAGTTTATGGTTTTTTTTTTTTTTTTTTTTTTGGTAATGGGTTATCATTAAGTCACTGAATTGTCCAGGCTGAGCTTTAATTTCCAAACCTCCTGTCAAAGTAGTAGTCTATAATATTGATTGATTGATTGATTGGGACTGGGTATCACTATGTATTCCAGGTTACTCCTGAACTCACTATATAACTTAG